TCTTCCCCTAGAAATTCTGCTTGAATCCTTTTGGGCTTGGTATGCGTATCAAAGTTGAGAACCCCTGCTCTACCTGGTATGATAAAATGGGTATCTGAATACTCTCTAAGTGGGAGTAAAGACTAATAAAATCCTTTTTACAAATAATTTGGTTGTGTATAGATTTTTTTTAAAATATTGTTTTCACTAATAGTTGCAATTTTGTGAATTCTATGAGTCAGCTGAATATAAAGAAAAAATTTATAAACAAAAATATTCTTTGTATGCAACTGAGTCAGTAATAATATTTGAGATTAACATAATTGTTCAGTTACAGGTCATGTTTTAACAAAGAATAGCATGTTCATGTAATGAATAATTACGTTTAATGTCACAAGACGATGCTTATAATACTAAAGAAGAAAAACAAGGCATACAGTTGTACTTACTGCATGATCATGACTATGTTAGAAGAAGCCTAGCAAAAAGACAGTAAAAATGTGCTCATATTATTAACCTCAGTTATATTTGTGCTTGGGCTTTATGAACCACTTGGGAATTATTTTCTAATTTTTCTAATATTTCTATTAGCTCTACTGTTTAGATATTGGTGGTAAAATACAAAAAAACATAAAGCTTATTGCTTTAACAATTTTCATGTGTATAGTTCACTGGCATTATGCACATTCACATGGCTGTGCAGCTATCGAGACTGTCTCTGGAACCATTAATCCTCCTCAACTGAAACTCTGTACCCATTAAACAATAACTCCTTGTTATTCCTCCTTCCCAATCCCTAGTAACTATCATTCTACTTTCTTTCCATCTTTATGAATTTTGACTATTCTAGGTTCCTCATGTAAATAGAATCATGTAACATTTTTCCTTTTGTATCTGGCTTATTTGACTTAGCATAATGTCTTCAAGGTTCATCCATATCATAGCACGTGTCAAAAGTTTATTCCTATTTAAGACTGAATAATATTGCATGATGTATGTACATACCACATAGCATTTATTGCTTCATTTGTCAATAGACATTTGAGTTGTTTTTGTCTTCTGGCTATTATGACCAATGAGGCTACAAACATTGATGTACAAATATCTGTTTGCTATGTTTTCAATTTTGGGAAAAATATATATGGAGTTGCTGGATCACATGGCAATTGTATGCTTAATTTTTTGAAGAATCAGTGCACCATTTTCTACAGTGGCTAAAACATTCCCATCAGTAATACACAATAGTTCCAATTCTCTACATCCTTCAGTCACTTTATGTGGAAATCTTCCTCAAATGCACCATTTTCCAGCCTTTTACAAAGAAAAATACTGAAAAAGTTCAATGTGTTTTTTTTTTCTTTCAGTGACTTAAGCACAATGGTGTTCCTTCAGGAACAATTGCAATCTCTATATGCTAGACACCATCCCAGTTATTTTCATAGGATGGATTACCCCTTTCAAAATCCTGTGAGATATTATCCCTTTTACAGATAGGTAAAGGAGATACACGAAGGGGAAAAATCTTATTCGTGATCACATCTCTAGTAAGTGAGAACACCAAGAATCAAAGCCCTGCCTCTTTGCACTTAGCTAGACTCCTACTATCTGAGAATGTTTGTCTCTATATTAAATGTCTCCAAATGAATTCTCTATGCTCTTAGAAAATCTATGTGTGCTGGTTAATGTTTTGTTTTTTTTCTCCTAATGTTACTCTTGGTGCTTGTAAAGACACTCAGTTCTAGTTATTTCTTCCTCTTCAACTTATGTGTTGATATTGATAAACTGTCATTAAGAAAAACAGGTAAAGAAGAGAGTTAAAACTGAAAAATAGAAGTGCTTAGGTTCTGAGGGAAAATCTGAGGGGTCAGTCTAAGGTTAAAATACCTAAGATTGGGTGTTTGGCTTTCATGATCTCTATTTTGTTTGTACAGTGACATATGTTGCTTATTTCTAGCAACTTATTTCAACTTATTTCTGGAGTCTGCTATTACAAGTGACCTTTGACTATGAGTGCTTATTGTTTATCATATCTATATTTTAAAATACAATGTAATTTATAGGGAAAAATATGCTTCCCCAAAGCAACAAATATTCTTTCAATGTTTCTAAAATGCCTACCTAATATTTTCATAGTATACACAAAAAGTCAAGGGAAAGGCTTTTGATATTGAAAGTGTCAGGCCTCTCATCACAGCTATTCAAACTATAGGCTACAGCTGCCATCAATATCGGCCTGGAGTATCCTTGCAGAATTTATTATATGTCATATATACTTTTTTCCAGAAAGATCAAGCATTTCTGTCCTTGTCTAACACACACACACACACACACACACACACACACACACACACACAGTGAAATGCTGAGAATTTAATTCTCAAAATATCAAACTTACTTATTTCAATGTAGAAGAGGTCACTAGTTAAACACAGATAGCCAAGAGTCCTTCTATGTATCATAAGCTCAAAAGCTTTCTTTTTCAGAAATAAATTATCAATTTGCCTCCCATACCATTTCATCATCTGTTTTTCTGGAAGGTAAGTTTTTGATATTGATCTTTCTGAAAGGTTTCTTTTCGTAATAAACAAGTGAAGAACACAAGTAAACCTGACAGGAAACTCTGCACCCAAAATATAAAAAGAAAAGGAAAAATTAAGGTTACTACAGAGAATTGTAAAGGAGAAAAGTTTTAGAAGGCCAGACACCATTTGGTCCATTGAGAAGTGTGTGATAAATGCAATCTTTGTGCTACTAAACTTATCATTAATGTCGATTTAAATACTCCAAGCAGTTTAACTCAACAAATACTCCAAGCAGCTTAACTCAACAAAACCAGAGGGCTGGGAGGATAAAGGAAATGAAAGGAATGTTTTGTCAAGCAAAACCAGAGATCTGATTTAGCTGATGGGGGAATGGCCATTATCTTCTGTTCCAAGGGTTTTGTAGCTGGCTAAGAGTTAAAGCTGAAAAAAGAAAATAAAATCACTGTTGCCTTAATTCTTTGGAGACTCTGCTCCCCAGATCAAAAGGTTCTACGAGACATAAAACTTCCCCTGGACTCTGGTGTGATCGTTTTAATGCTGACTGACACCCTGGTACAGCTAACAGCAATACATGCCCTGAATATTAATGATTCAACTAATATTTTAGGGGAGATTGTTTGGTATCTCACATCCTGCCACAGTGGACCTTGGAAACGTACTATACACCATAAGGAAGCAGCTAGTTTCTCACTATTCAACTATACCCACCATTTATTACGCACATGGTTTTATGCGTTTAACTTCCCTGGAAGTCAGCCTCTCTTCTCTGACCTTTCTTTCGCTTTTCTGAATTGCTATTACTTGCTCTTACTATTCATTTTATTCTTACTTTATATTGTGTTAAATCTTTTGGTATCATTTTACATATGTATTATATGTTTTCTTTTGGGGGGGAGTACCAGGAATTGAACTCAGGACCTTGCACTTGTGAGGCAGGCACAGAGCCCCATTAACTAAAATGGACTAACTGTACAATGAGGTTTAATTATGAATTTATTTCTAAGTAATAATAAATCGGTTCAAAGAAGAAATTCTTGAGGGTGAAATAATCTCAGTGCTTACTGAATTGTGGAAAACGCAGCAATAAACCAAATGAATTGTGAATGAAGCCCAGAAGGCTGGTTTTCTAGCTATTTAAGTTCCCCTTCCCCCAAATAACATTAGCTACTTAGATTTCTTGAAGTTAATAAAATAAATTTCCAAATTTTGAAAACTCCTAACTGGAAGTTTCTTGTATTTTGCAGTGGTCATGAAATAATGCAAAAGCATTTCAAGAAACTTCTGAGCTTGAATAAATGATGCTTACAGGGGAAAAAAGGATCTGACAAGCAAATAGAGCAGACTCAAGAAGAATTGAAAACAGCAAGACAGCTAGGATGTTCTGATAGAAACTTAGTAAATATATTCTATCAAAAGCTTATTCTCGTCTTCAACTTACTGGTTTCTACCTGTTATGAAAGAAATAAAGGGAGAGAAAGGAGAAGAAAAAGTAGAAAAGGAGTGGGGGAGAGGAATCCTTTTCTATTCCTCTTGAGCTTAAAACAAATTAATCTGACAGGTTTGTAAACCATCAGAACCAAGAGCAAAACCAAAAGGGGTCAAAGCCTCAGTCGGGCTCCTGTAACACCTGATCTTTGGGGCACAGTGACTAAGGGGGAGCCATGGGCCCTTCAGGAAGACGGGGAGGGCGTCCAGCAGTTGGCCTGCGGCCGCAATCTCCATTGTGGACGTGGGTGAGTAACTCCCTTAAACAACTGATTTACTGCCAACAGACAAAACACTGGAAGCACATCCAAAAACTCCTCCACACTTAAAAATTATGAGCAAGTGGCTACTCTGGCAATCCCCTTTACCAGAGAGGTGACCCTGTTCCTGACAGCCACGTCCATACAAGGGTCACAGAAGAGCACCTCCTTCCTCTGACCCTCTTTCCTGGCCTCAGAAGTCCTTACAAAACCTTTGCTCTGTCTGCCAATCGCTTTTGTAGGGGGGTGGGGGGTGGCACTGTGGCTCTTCTTAATTCCTTTCTTCCTCCTCCCTTTTCCTCTCTCCTTTCTCTTCCTCCCCTATCTTCTCTTTCCCGCTTCTTCCTTTCTGTATTAAAACAAAACAAAAACAACCCAAAGAGTCTCAGATCTTCCCCACACTCCACTAGAAAGCCATCGCAAGCGAGACGGAGTCAGGGACAGGCGGCGGGTGCCTTCGTCAGCACCATCGGACACTTGGCTTCCTCGCTCCCTTCCCTCTGCACAGAGTTGACTGGGCGAGGGCACGGGATGCACAGAGGTAGTGAGAACCCGCTCCAAAACTTTCCACTGGTCTCTCCCACCTCCCACAAACTCTTTAAAGCCATCCAGTCGGAAGGGTACAGTGACCTCCTCTGGCCTCTAGCCGAAGAGGCAAAACAAGAAGAGACTCGCCCCTTTGCTTCCCGCCCAGCGCAACTGCAGAGGGCGCAGGGCGGCGCGGTGGCCGGAAGGGGTCGCTGTTTGCTCGGAGCAGTCGCCCCCGCGGCCCGCACCTCCTACGGCCCCGCTGGCCCAGCCCCGCCAAGTTCCAACAGCCCCCAGTCGAGCGAGCGCCGGGGACAAGCACCGCCCGGGCAGGAGCGCACGGCGCAGACGAGCCGAGCTTCGGCGGGCGTTGGAGAGGCTCCTGGGAAACTCTCACGGCCCGGGGACTTTGGCGAGGACAGAGTGCACGGCCCGGCGCGTGCGAGTCTGCAAGCGAGCACTCAGCCGGGCACCTGTTCCTCCCGCGCCGCCGCCGCCTTCCCACCCCTCAGACCTGTGCCTCCCGGGGCGCCCGCCCTCCAGCTCCGCGATGAATCCGGTGCTGGGCAACCAGACCGACGTGGCGGGCCTGTTCCTGGCCAACAGCAGCGAGGCGCTGGAGCGCGCCCTGCGCTGCTGCACCCAGGCGTCCGTGGTGACCGACGACGGCTTCGCCGAGGGCGGCCCGGACGAGCGCAGCCTGTACATCATGCGAGTGGTGCAGATCGCGGTGATGTGTGTGCTCTCGCTCACGGTGGTCTTCGGCATCTTCTTCCTCGGCTGCAACCTGCTCATCAAGTCGGAGGGCATGATCAACTTTCTGGTGAAGGACCGGAGACCGTCCAAAGAGGTCGAAGCGGTGGTCGTGGGGCCCTACTGACCGCCCTCCGGCCTTCCCGCGGGCGCCCCTCACCGCCCCCACCTCGCCAGCCCCGCTGCGCCCCTCACCATCAGAGCCCGGCCGAGGCAAACCTGTCGGAGTCAACTGTTTCTCTGGACTTCTATTTTAGTATATATGCTGCAGAAGCGAGCACTCTGGACTTCTCCTTGCCGGACCAACAGCCCCGTTTCTCGCTGGCCCTCTGAAACCCCCATGCCTGGCTGTGGGAGGGAAGCGCTCTGACTTCCGGACTCAGCAGCAGGTGGCAAAAGAGGGCGATTTGGGCGCAGAACTTTGGAAGCTGCTACTTGCGTGGTACGCGGGGAGATGGACGAGGCGAAGGCCCTTCACCTGCAGGTTGGCCGAGCACCGGGGGCAGTTGGAGAGGGCGGGTGGGGGAGAGGCCCAGCGGCAACGATGCCTGGTGACTAGAACAGTGACCTGTTTATACGCCTCGCAACACACCTAATGGGGACACACAAATCCATGGGCAGATTCCCGCCCACTCCTTTCCGCTCCCCCCAGCCCGGGAGGGGAGCACTGACACCTTTGATTGATTGTAACTTGCTATTTTAAGGAATTTTGTGTTAGTTTGCTTGAGTACAAATATTAGATAAGTCTTTTCTGCCCTTGTGGCCTGTTTGCCTGCCTGGGGGTTAGAGTTTTGTCACCGTGGGAGGAGGGGGGGGGAGGGGAGCCTGTGAATGTGAATGGGGTGAAGTTGTTTCTTTTAGTGCATTTCCAACTGAGTCTTTTGGGGGCTTCAGTTAACCCCGGGCCAAAGACTCAGAATAGAACTCCTGTAGCTCCTGACTGCACGGTTTATGCCACAAAAGTGCTCTTGATATCCGTGACACCGTTTTGACTTTTTTTTTTCTTAACATTTCCTTAATAAATGCAACATTGAAGTGTTTTGTTCCTGGCCTCCTGGTGGTCATTCTATGCTGCTGGCTGAGAGGAACGGGCTGCGGTGAGGAGTCTGGAGGGGAAGCTGCGCCTCAACTGTAGATCCTCTGGGGGAAGGGAGGAGGGCAGACAGGCCTGAGGGATGAAAAGACGAGATGAGCCACAGGCACTGAGCCTTTTGGGGGCAGCAACCTTTGTTTTCTTTTATACTTACTATTTTATAGTTCATGGCTCTCAGCTTTCTGGTAGGCAGGAGGACAGGAGGGCCCCACAGGGAAGATTATACTTCCGTCCCAGCTCCAGCGGGAACCCAGGGTTACATGCTAATGAAAGGAAGAGATTGCTTGGCCAGCCTTTGGGGAAGGCGTCTCTTCCCTCATCCACGTCAACAGGACTGCACTGGGATGCTGCTGCAGAAAAAGAAAATCATAAAATGCGAGGAAAAGTAGCTGCTAAAAGTACATAATGACGTTGATACTCCCTGGGGTAAACCATTGTTAGTAAAACATGACATGTCTTGTGTTTGCCATGTTATCTTTTGTAGAGAAAGGATGAAATTAAAAGAGGGGTCCAAATAAATGATACATATTTGAGGTGATGGATTGCTAATTAGCCTGATTTGATCACAAATCGATGTATACATGTACTGAAGCATCACATTGTATGCCATAAATATACACAATTTTATTGATCGATTAATTAAAAGTAAAACACAGGGAGAGAGAGAGAGAGCTATCTAGTTTGCTCTTTTTAGTTGAGAATAGACAGCCCAGGCTAGGCCAAGGGTTCAGAGGAGTTAGCCGAGGTGCTGAATGTCTGAAATGACTTTATAACCAACTGGGAAGGCTGAACCAAAGTAGAGTTACAGATGCTGGTAGGCAAATTTAGGGCTCAGAAATCGAGCAGCATTGGAAAGAAGAGCCTAGAAACCCGTGCCTGTGAAAATAACCCAGAGGACACAGTAACTTCAGGCTTAAACTTGACAAAGGGTTTGAGCAATTTACATTTATGCCTAGGGTAGGATCCTAAATATTTTCTAGAAAATTAGAGATTCACTGGGATACTATAACAACTGAAACTTCAAATACTTCAGAACAGCAGCTATAAGACTAAAATTAAACAATAATAAAGTATCTCATTTACTCAGGAAGAACCAGGACAGTGTCAGTGATTCCCAGGGTTGGGCTCAAAAGGTTTGTAGCACGTAAGCATCTTGTACACTTCCAAGTATCCATTTCACTCTCAAAGTAAATCTTGCCAAGAATTACAATCATTCTGAATATTAATGGCATCAGACTTGAAAAAAATAAGGATGTGAAATTTTGCTTGTTCCTATCTCTTCAACAGGTAAGGGTTTTTGTTGTTACTTTTCTTCATATCTGGGAGGGGCACAGTTAACAGTCATGGCACACAGTTTAGAGAAAGAAGTGGAATCTTCTTATTTTGTACATAGTTTCTTTGGTGTCAAGTTAATCTGCTGCCTCAGTATATCAAAGAGAGAAACAAAACAGAGTAAGGAGTTCACCCTGGAACAAACAAGATATTTAAATGTGTGTGTGTGTGTGTGTGTGTGTGTGCGTGTGTGTCTGCAACATCTACTGAGCATTCCTCTTCCTGGAGATTTATTAGTCCCCCAGTGAATTAATACTCTGGTGGAAATTGATCTGGGATTAAAAACAAATCATTTAGGGTTTGTAGGATTCTTGCTTTGTTCTCTGCTCTGTAGGAAGTGCGTTTTCAGCTGGCTTCAGACATAAGGAGGTACTTCAAACCTTCAGGTCAATTTTAAATTGTTCATGTAGAGCAGGTTTTCATTTAAAATAGAAGTTGTGAAAGTTGAGAAAGTAGCCTTCCCACTCTTTCCTCTATCTTGCTTGTCTTAATGTTTTTTCACACCTCTGTCCCCTTCCCAACACCTCAAAAGCAAAATTTACAGTTTCTTTTCATTGAATTTACTGTTTCTTCTCATCTCAACTATTCATATATATTCTCTTATCTTCAGAAATTATGATTGTGAGACAAAACAGAAACTGCAAAATTAGGAACACAGGTAGAAATGATATATGAACACAGCTTTGTAAACTATGACCTATGCATTACAAGGAAATGCACACAGTCTGAAGTGCATATAGCCCTGGGGACTATTTCCTGCCAACATCCCTTCTCTCCAGCCCTTAGGTCCATTTGTTACTTAGAGAGATGCCAAGTGGTTCTGGGTTTTATAGATGAGGCAAGAAGCTTTTTACACTCTGTTCCCTTATGGCCACACAGCAACCACTTTCCCCGGCCCCACACCACTCCCTCTCTCACTCTGCCTTTGGCTCTCTTTGTCCCTCATGCTAAAAATTGCATGAAATGAAACTTTTAAATCCTGCTCAGAGCTTTATGCAATGCCAATCTTTTCCCACAGACATGCTATAAGGAAAACAGCTTTTGAAATCCCCTCCATGCTTTACCTAAGCGACAAAGTCAGCCTGAAGAGACTGGGAAATTGAGAGGGGTAAATACAAATGGACAGATTCTACCATCCCACCCTGAGATGGCCTTGTGGTCAGTGATCTGTAGGAGCCAGAGAGAGGGGCCGGGGGCGGGGGAGAAAGAGGGAGAAAAAGAGGGAGAGGGAGAGAAAGAGGGAGAGGGAGGGGGAGGAAGAGGGAAGAGGAGGGAGAGGGGAAGAAGAAGAGAAAGACAGAGATGGAGGGAGGAACAGTTTCCTGTAAATGCTAGGTGTGGCATGGCCCAGGGGGGACTTATCTGATACTCCCTGAATCCTTCTGAAAATGCAGCAGACACTGGGAGAGGTTCTTATGAGACAAGGCTGATAGATTAGTGGGATCTCAGTCTCCGCAGGTAGCCACTGATACCTCATAGCCTAACTGGGCAGTCTCCATGAAAGTAGCTTAATCAGTTATCAATATATTTTTTCTAACATGATTGATATTACTCTTTCTACTCTCTGAAAATACAGCTATAACTTGGACACCTGGAGGGAAATAAAAGCAGTGTTCACACTACTGAGTCAAGCCTGAGATTACTCTATCTCCTAGTGAGTGGTCTGTGATTTCTGATTTCCAAGTTCCCTAGCTTCTCACTGGATCTCAATTTGACCCTATTATTGTGTCTTCATATGTTAACTTTGAGTGAGGAAGGGAGAGGCACATGTTAGATAATAGCAACTTTGGTTCTGATCTCTAAGCTGCTTGGTAGCCTCATCCCTAGTATAAAGTTAAAGGACACTCTAACTCTATATCTTTAAGGTATTAATTTGTTTAACATGTTCTTGTCTTTTATGATGCTTCATAGGCCTACTCATTGTGTGTCTTAACATATTTTATCTTTTCAATCTTGGTAGTTTTTGCAGAAACTTTGTCTCACAAAAATCAAGGGTTCCTCCATGTGGAACATGTCATTTAAAATAAACAAAGCAAAATTTCAGACACCTTGTCAGGCCTGGGCAGACAATAGTTACTAACCTGATAGATCACATAACATCTTTTCAGTGCCTCAAATGTTCCAGATCTCTATGGTCTCACTGAACGGAGACATAGGAGTGAAGGCCAGGAAGTGGGGAGTATGCAGTTCTTCCAGGTACCCATTCAGATGAGTATGCACTGTTGTTTATGGAAACTAGTGAGTCAGTTAGTTAGTTGAAGATTAATAGCCAATTTTTCTGCCCCAACATGTTTTTCCCTTGGAGCTTCTGCAACAACACACAACAGCTGTTCTGCTTGCGCCTTAGAGCCTTCCTGAGCCCTGGCTTATTATACATGTCATTTTGAGAGTTGCAATGCCAGGAAAGGATTCCAGGGTTCAGTTTGTTCTGTAAGATTCAAACCTGGTTTGAAAGCCTGTTGAAACAGCAAGTCTGCAGCAATTCCCTAAATAGAAATCAATAAATCTTTTATCCACATGCCAAATCCCATTTAGACATATGCACAATAGCTCAAATGGCATATGTTTTAAAATTAACTCCAGCAGTAGTAATTGTTTCCTAATGTCTAAATTTAAATGCTCAATGGTTTGTTTCCAGATATTTTTCATATTGTTTTAAATGCTTACATTTTTGAATGAAAAGGATTGATTTTTAAAAAGCTGTGATTTAAAAGTTCTTGAGAAGTCTATATATATAAAAAATATGTACATAAAGTATAAATTTTGGGGCATATGTCATTTGTAGTGATTATAATAAAACAGCCTAAATTCATATTTATATTTGTTTTTATTTTTATTATATTTGAGATACTCAAGTACTGTAGAGGAAGTTTCTAAAAGG